CAGGTGAACGCTGAAGAACGGATCTGGGAAAAAAGGGGGAACAACGCAAGTCAGGTGGGAGTCAGGATGTTAGTCATAGATTTTTAGGCAAAAAGCTTTCCCCATATTTCTGTTAAACCATAGAAATACAAACCCGAGTATGCCTACCTGGTGTTGGGTAGTTGTGCTAAGTTCTGCTCTGAGCTCCAGTAATGGCTGAACTGTTTTATCTTTGATGGGACACCACAAATGATATATAACCTCATTAACGATGTCTCTACCGGGTGGGATGATGGGACTTTTTGAGAACGCCCCTTATTTTTGCTAAGCTTTGGTACATCTCCAGAAGAAGCTACAAGAAGGATCCTGGAGGTATCAAGTGTTGTGAGTATATAGGAAGTACATAGCAGTATATAGTAGATGTGTGTAGCAGCTGTGAGCAAAGATGTGGAGCACATGGGTAGTGCTGAAATGGTGTTGAGCCAGTTCCTTCTCACAGCCCTGATCCTGTGCTGTATCACTCATTTCTGACCTGCTGATTCACTGGAATTTTAGTCTCAGTATACTGACTGAGATTTATGACCACTTGAGCTTTTTCTTTAAAATAGCTCTTACTGGAAATAGCATTGTAACTGCACACCTGTGTCCATTCAATACACCACCAAAACTTCCAAGAGGGCTTCCTGAAATTTCAGACACTTCTACCAGGTAAATTCTCTGCCTGTTTTGATTTTATTTGGTTTACATTACTTCATGTAAGTGATATAATTTAATAACTTCTTTTGTTTTATACTAAAGCATATAATTCTGGAAGGAAGGGAGATAGGAGGTGCAGTGACAGGGAGGACTCGTGCCAGGCTTACAGCACCATCACAGAGCATTAGTGTCTTTTCCCATTTTCTTTTTCCTTTTCCTTTTCTTGTTTTACCTCTATGACAGACAACTCAAGAAAACTGGAGATTGTGGAGCTAAAATCTCTTGATGTATTAACAGTCTGAATGCAGAAATAGAACAAGAAACCACTAATTACATTTTAACTGTTAGGACACATTCAATACTGTGTGAAAAATAAGGCTGCTTATGGGCAGAATCATCACTTTTAAGTGGAGGAAACAACTGCTTGAAGGAACAACTGGTGACATGGCCTCCATTGCTGACATACACTGATCAGCTATCAGATCTGTTACAGTTTCTTAAAGTATGATGTCAGGTTTGTGGATGCCTATCCTGAAAGGATATGTTTGTGGATATCCATGAGAATGGGAAAATTCTCTCTTCACTGCTGATAAACTCACAGGAAAGCTGCAAGATTGACTCTGCAAGTTTTTTGTCTCTCTTTGTTTCCCCACTTAGCTCCATCTTTTCTCCAAGCTGGAGCACTAATTAGCATTTGCTAATTCTTCAATTCTTTAAGTCCCGTGAGGCAGCTTTGTATTAATGTACAAAGCAGAGCCAAATGGCTTTGTATTTGTTGTTTTCTAATAGTGTGTGGCCTGTGTTATGATTTGATTGACCAGCTCCAAGCCCTTTTTTAAAAAAGATGTTATTGAGAAGAATGAACAAACAGGTTAATGTGTTAACTCACTACCATTTAATACAGTAATTAGAAATGCAACATAGCAATGGTCATATCACAGATATTTGACAATAAACAAGACGATGACTTATGGCACCCCCTGCCCATTTGAATCCACACCTCAGCCACACCATGCTGCCTCCACCCCTACTTCAACTGCAAGTGCACACTTTCCTCTCAGGAAAACATCACCCAAAGGTAGCACCCAAAGGAAAGGGTGAAAAAACTCACTGGGGATTTTTCTCCAGGCAAAGGCAGGAGGGAGGCCAGCTCAGCTTAGAGCCTTTGAAGTGGACAGTACAGTTGTAGGGAAGAGAGTACAGGAAATCTCTCTCCCAGGCCATGAAGGGAGAGTCATTTTCATCACAAAGTTTACAGGTGTCTTGCAGTTCTTGTGGGCTGACTACCACAAGGCCCAGAGACTTCATCAACTTTTATTACATTACAATATCAAAAATGAAATAACAGTAAGCCCTTTGGCAAACTTACAGTGCTGTCCAGTTGGGAGCCTGGAGGAATAAACAAGGTGGTACAGTCGCTCACACATTAGGAAATATTATAGACCAGAGTTTTCCACAGGCATTGTCACTTGACGGCTGTCACTAAAAAATACAGCCAACCCAATGCAGGCACTACAGACCTTGCAATTTTCTCCTGCAGACTCATTTTTTGAGCTCAGCCCTAACTTCTATGCCCATCCTTGCAAGCTGTGAAAGCTGCTTACAGCACACAGCAAATCACCATTGCTTTCACTAACTCTCAAACAGACTGCAGAGCTCCTATTCCTGTGCCACTGCACAGCCGCTCTTGTAGGGGAGGGGGGCGTTTGGAAGCATTCGCAAGCTCACAGAAATTGAACTGCAGTAAACTGGGTTGAGCATTAAAAGCTGCCTGCAGTGCAATGTAACAAGATTCTTTATACGGAAATGTGCTTTTTTCTTCTATTTTCCAACAGATACCAACCCGTTATTCTCATTTGGTTAATGTTGGTAATGCACAACTCATACCGTTCTTGTATGACACTGCTTCCTAAAACTGTTGTTATACGTGTGCACACACACACCAGCTACACAGCATTATAGCAGCCAGTGGTTCCAGAAAATGTGCTTCCTACAGTTTCCTATAGGCAAATGTCAAATCTGAAAGTCCATTGTGAATAGTTACAGAGCTTGTTCTGCACCAATAGATAGCCTTCTGCTACTGCCTAGTGCTTGTGATGAATAAATTAGCCATCCGTTTTCTGTCACCACTGTAGGAAGAATATGTGATCCTGTGTGAAAGAGGAAATAAGAATAGAAAGCCACTCACTTCTAACAGCAAGAAACTGGAGAGGAGCGTTAACTCTAGAGCATTGACAGCAAAGACACCCATCAGACTCTGTCAGTATCATTTCTTCAGAGTTGTCCTAGGCTGGCTGATGGTGCCAGAAAATTAAAGTATCTTTGCTGAAGCTTATAGCTCTGGAGGGATCTATCCAGAAGCAAGTTATGAAGCAAATCTGATTCCCCTCTTCCTCTGCATGATCTGGCAAAGAAAGTAGCAGCAGCACATAGTTGGAGATGGCTCTGATTCGGGAAAGAGAGAGGGAGAGAGACTGCATCCCTCTGTACAGACTTAACTTTGATGGGAGTAATTTCCAGCTTCCTCTGCCTCAGCACAATTAGAAAGTAAAAATAAATCCATGTGAACAATCCATGGTTGCCCAGGCAGCATGAGCAGTCCAGTGTCAGGGGATAGTAGGACTGTGGGGACACCAAATCTGGTGGTGGTGAGGGTGAGATTCAGAATCATGAATCACTCTGCATAAAATCACAAGCTATTAAAAAGAAAAAAAAATGCTGTTCTTGCTTGGTCTTCTCACTTTGAATCTCTCCCTGTGCCAAAGCTGCCCCATTTATGGAACAGTGAGCCCTGCAAGAGCTGCCGGATGTACTGAACCATACTCCTGGCTTTGTGTACCATCTGCTGCCAAGGAGGGATGCAGAGAGACTCTTCCTCTGCCTCCTCCTGTCACCATGGTCTCATCCGTGTCTCCAGCTGATGTCCAATATATCACTGCATCTTCCCTCTGGGGCAGACCACCACTGCATCCCACTCCCTGTACTGGGATCTCTTCACAACCCTCATGACTCAGATCTTATTGCGTCCATTTTTCCCAGTCTCTTTTCCCTCTCCCTTGGCCATGCTGCTGGCAGCAATGCACATACAGATTGGTGGCTGCAGTGGGATTAAGTTATTTTGTCCCTCTCCTTTTCTATGTAATGAGAAGCTGTGAGCCAATTTTGGATCCAACACTACCCTGCCAGCCTTTGAATATTTGTGATAGGAACTAAGTGCATTTAAGAGATTTTCACGTTAGCCTGAGAGACTGACATCTCCTAAAGGTGGTGCTAATATGATTAGTTTCTAAAACTTGCTGCAGTTAATATGGCCACAAATTAATTTTCAATGTGACTAGGCAATTTTTTTTTTAAAAATGGGACAAGTCTTGTACTTAATGTAGTAGCAGTTATAGACCCCTCAGTGATCTAAAACCAAAGTCACCTAGGAATATAAGAAGAGGATAATGGTTTGAGTTGCTTCTTCCATAGGCTCCATTGCTCCCCTCACCATAATTCTACAGTTTCTTTGCACTCAGTCTCCTGTGAGGGGAGAAAGCAACAGGTAGAACAAATGTGTGGTCTGAGGGTACCCAGCTCCACCTAAGTGCCATGCTCAGGTAAGTCCTAAGGGCTCATAGGCTCCAACAGCCACAAATGGGAAAGCCCAAACATTGTTCCCTGTGTGCTGACTGAATAGTCAGTTGACTGGGTGGTAAGAGCATTTGGAGAATAGGTAAGAGTCACCTTACCACTCAGATTTTAGCTGTACAGTTTAGAAGGTAACTCTAATTACTTCTCATTTTTCAGACCTTCCCTCTTAAGTCAGACAATAATGCTCAGAGAGGTGGTGAAAAGGGTCTGCAAAGTCACTAAGAACACCAGACCTGCTCACCAGAAGATTTAAGAGGTAAATGTAATTTTTATAAAAATTACATACTTTTATAAAAATGTATTTTTCCTTATAGGGAAACCCTGGCTGGACTGCTGCCAACTACACTGCTTGAGGGCCGAGGCTGGTGGGCTGTGCTGAGAGCACTGCTAGAAGGGAACATAATCAGGCATTAAGTTCTGTGTAATGCATCTTCAGTCATCTGAAGTTATTTGCTCCTTTCCTAGAGAATTCATAATTGAGGCGCTTGGAGACAAAGAGTAGTTTGACTATAAAGCAGATTATTTATTGCTTCATATGTCATTTTCTAATATAAATAAAATCATTTATATGAAACATGGCATTCTAAAAATATTAATTGCGAAATGCAACATTTTTCATCCTTCCTCTATCTCTTACCAACAGACAAAATTCTATCATTTATAAACAGTCTTCATGAAACAAACATATGCTATTAATGATCAACAGGAAGACAATAATTTGATATAGGTAAAGTACTCTACTGTACAACAGACCAGGGCAGGGATTTGTTATAAGAGTGCTTAGGCTGATAAAGCATGTCTCCAAACACCAGTAAGATCTCAGCAGCAGTCACCAACCCACCCATCAAGCACCTCTGAGCAAAAGTTCAGCAGATTTTTGTACAAAGAAAACTGTTCTTCGATTAACTTACATCAGTCATTCAGGGAAAAATAATCCTCATATTTCATAGAATAGTTGAACAAGAAAAAATCCATTTGATACAATTTTTTGATCTTCTCAATTTGTTCTGAGTTCAACTGTCTGAGATACTCCAAGGTGATATCACCATTAGTCCTTTTCTCTGAGCTATACCTCTTCAAGCTGGGGTAGTGCAGGCTCTCTGGTGCTCCAATGACCTTCAGAACATGCTCAGAATCTAACCCAAGGGTTTCATACTTACCCAGAATATCATAGTTAATGTTGCAAGGATCACAGAGCAGAAACATTGGTTTCCAGTGAATGTCAAGAGTACTTGGTGGTTTTGCTATAACAAAATTGACAAACTCCTGGAAACTCACTTTTTCAGAAGAATTACTGTTTTTCCTGAACATTTTCCTAATCTCATCAGCGACAACGGTACTGTAATGTGGCTCAGAGTGCAGAAGTTTGTCCCTGTAAGCTGAAACCAGCCGTTCCAAGGGATGTCTGGTGAACATCACTTTGGTGTAATTCTTCAGAAATTCCTTTTGTCTGGCAGGAGGGTAAGACACCAGCTTTTTGATCGCTGAGGTTTGGTGGATGTGGTCATGCTCAATTTCAGAAGCTTCTGCACGAAAGTTTGTTTGGAGAATAAAAATAGTCCTCTTCCAGTTGGAGCAGCCTACCTTGGGCACCTCACAGTAGATAAATTTATGTTTGTGCTCCACAAAGAGCTGCCTTGCAACAGAAGAATCCAATTTGGGGCTTACTTTAAGAAGCTTGTTCTCTGAGCAGACAGGAGCCAGTGTTTTTCTGCGAATATTTTGAATTTCCACCCAATTTGCACTGGCATCAGGAAAAGCACCTGCAACCGAGGAAGAAACTTAAACCATTGGTGTGAAATGGACTGTTTTTGTGACAATCATAGCACTCAATCTATTTCCCTGCATACAAATCAAATGAAGACACTAAAATCAATTTTTTTGTTTCCATCATCAGAGTCCACTATGGCAAACATGCAATTAACTATCCTGCTTAGTGAAAGGTTTGTTAAAATGAAACTTTCAACATGTTAGCAATACTACTCCAAGCAACACTTGTCATGTCAACTGTTTTTTGTAGTGCTCTTCCTCTCACACGTTGCTATGATAGTTATCACTGTGACAGGGCCTTGGATATTTTCAGAATATTGTTTATCATTTAGGCTTCATAGTTACTTTCTGACACATTTGGGAAAGGTGTCTCTGGTTCTAGGGAACATAGAATCACAGACAAACATTACAACTTTCTGTTGGTAAATTCTTTACTCACCTGATAGGTTTATTTGTTTCTTACAGAAAAACCCAACAAGAAATATCCCAAAAATAAAATTTGCAAGAAGGAAAGCTAACACCTTCTGGTTCATATTATTTTCACGGGAAGGCGGATGATGTAAACTCTAAAGTGGAAATCTGCCTTTCTGTCAACAAGGAAAGATAATACAAGTTAGACTTTGCATGACTGAGGTAACAAAGGCAACATGGTATTCTCTTACAATATTTATGATAGCAGAAGCCCTATAAAAACAAGCTTTCCTAATAAAAATTTTCCAATGAAAGAGACTCACCAGACTTATACTGTTAAACCAAAAGACAAATAATGTGACCATTTCAAAGTATTACAAAATTTCCCCCTTTTTCAGAACAATGAACTGTGTATGAGCAAATACTCCTCCTTTCTCCTCATTTAGAGCAGGTGTTCCTGCCAAGCAAACTCTCTATCCCTTCACATTGGGTAAAAATAACCTCATGTAGGATTACAGAGATGTATTTTTTTAAATAACCTTACTTGTTGGAGTCTGGGAGTACAAAGTTCTCTTTAACCTGCAACAGGCCTATCCGCAAGCCTACGATCCATTAAGGATAAGGTTCTTCCCACCTCTTGCTCTGAAGCTTTCCACTTGTATAAATAAATCAATATTCACTGCAAGAGAAACTCTTCCACATTCCAGCAGAGACTTCTAGCTACTAACAACAGATTAATTTTCCCATTCTTTCTCTCCCAAAGACACTGCAGTGTGTATTTGTTTGCTGTTGTTGCTGCTGGAGCATAAGAGCCCCAGAATGGTTCACTGTGGCAGGAGGCATACAGAAGCAGCAGAGGACACAGCAGAAAAGATGTTCCCAGTTCACAGATAAAAGGAGAGAAAGCCAATGCAGTCAACACGTGCTGTATTCCCTCTCCTGTGCTCACTTGTTCTGTCCCTTTGTGTTTCCTGGAGAGAGAGCTAAGTCTTACTGCATTGCCCCCATTAGGAAGCTCTTCATCAGTGTGCTTTTCATTACTTCTTATTTGAAGTAGCAAAATTAAGTGCAAAACCATAACTACTGGCAAACATGACATTCTATTTCTGCCCCATAAAGTCTGCACCACCAAAAAAGTCAAGCAACACCATCTTCTTTTTCCACCTTTTCACCCTGAACCTGTTGGCAGTAAAAACAGCATTGCCTGGATTTCTTGCAGATGTAACTTCAACTGTTTTGGTTTCTTTGTTTCATTTTTATAAAGACACAACAGGAGCACTCTGGAAATTATTTGTGGTGCCCACAACCGTGGAGGGAGAGGCACGGTGTGGATGTACATAAACCCCATACCCCATGCCATAATGGTAACTGGTTTTCTGTGTGTTCTGAGACAGCAGTAGAGTTAGTTAAGTTGCTGAATATGTACTTGCACACAAGGCTTCTTCCTTTCAGAGCTGACAGGTGATTATTATACCACATATCTTTACCAGAATATTTTCAAACTTGTACATGTACATTAGAAATAGTGTGACCAGCAGGTCCAGGGAGGTGATCATCCCCCTGTACTCAGCACTGGTGAGGCCGCACCTCGAGTGCTGTGTTCAGTTCTGGGCCCCTCACTATAAGAAGGATGTTGAGATTCTGGAGCGTGTTCAGAGAAGAGCCACAAGGATGGGAAGGGCTCTGGAGAACAAGCCTGATGAGGAGCGGCTGAGGGAACTGGGCTTGTTTAGCCTGGAGAAGAGAAGGCTGAGGGGAGACCTCATCACCACCTCCAACTGCCTCAAGGGAGCTTGTAGAGAGGTGGGTGCTGGTCTCTTCTCCCAGGTGATGGGGGATAGAACAAGGGGAAACGGCACCAAGCTGTGCCAAGGGAGGTTCAGGTTAGAGATAAGGAGGAAGTTCTTTACTGAGAGGGTCGTCAGAAGCTGGCACAGGCTGCCCAGGGAGGTGGTGGAGTCACCATCCCGGGATGTGTTTAAAGAGCGGGTAGATGAGGTACTTAGGGATATGGTTTAGGGGGTAGACAGGAACGGTTGGACATGATGATCTCAGAGGTCTTTTCTAACTGGGCGATTCTGTGATTCTGTGATTAGTTAAACTAATTATTAAATCTCTCTCAGTGTAGGCATGACCTGAAAAATGGAGAGGTACGACTGTTAACTACCTCTGACCTGTAAACTTCACTATGAACAGATGTGCAGTCACATACATTAATAATTTACTTGTTACTTTGTTACAATACTCATTCAAATGAATGCAGTATTTTCACACACAATGGCATTTAGCCAATATTTTTGCATTTTCTTGGCTGCATATTATATTATTATTATATTAAAATGACTATATAAAAAAATTTGGGTTGATCTTCAGCTTTTCAGCTTTTCTTCACTGCAAGTCAATTCTGCCTTCACTGAGTGATCTATTGACTCCTAAAGCATCAAAGGCTCCTTCCAGGGCCAGACAAAGCCAGCCAGATTGTTCATCGATTTCATGAGGTCCAAAATTGAGTGATCCTTTTTTTTTCCCCAGAAGCGGTTTAGAGACTGTTTCACACTGTGTAGCAATTCAAATGACAATAAATAATTCTGTACAAGGACTCCTTGTTAGAATACACTTAGGAGAAAGAAGTCGGACTTCATTTAAGAATGCTGTCACCTCAGGGTAGTTATTGTTATCACACTTGTTTCAGGAATCAGAAAATAAGCTACATTAATTTATCCTATTTAGATACTTGTATCACATGTATGTGTTAATAAAATTACTGGTACAGAATATAACATAATAATATAATAACGTCTGCCACAAGACACATTTCATGTTGAAACACATCAATGAGTCACCAGTAGGAAATGGAAAAGATTTGCTTTCTTGAGGGAAAGAAGCTGTTTATGAGCTAGTCAAGCACAGGAGACAACGCCTCGTCTAAGACATTTGCATATTTGTGGAAGAAAAAGAATCCTTATTTTAAGTCAAAAGAATGGTCAGGCCATAAGGAGGGCTAGAACGAGCTCCAAGGTGACAGGTGAAATAACTATTAGAAAAGTAGAAAAGTTCAGAGTGCAGACTGGCTGTCAGACCTAAAAACCATTCATCAACACCTGAGGTCAATGTGACAATTTGGAGGAGCTACCTGAAGGTGAAGTCTGAAGGCTTCTTCTGAAGATGCTTGTTTTGATGGGAGGACCCAATACAGAGTTCTGTGTAAGGCAAGATCTCCAACGATGAAAATCACCTAAGAGCAACCTGAAGAATAGGAGGAAAGAAAATTCTGAGAGCTATTTTGTCAGAAGAGGGACAAGTCACCTGAAAATTAAAAAGAGGGAAAAAATCCAGAACAAAAACCACCGTTGTGATACATGCAGTGTCAGTAGTTCTAATTAAATTTTCCTTCTATTTTTTTCACTTATTTATTTTCCAGATATTTGTAACTGTGTTGTCTATTTTAGATCTAATGAATTAATACTTCTATTTGCATTTTACCTCATCCTACCTTGAATTAAGTGTGATTTAGGGTGGCTGGGTAGTAACAAGGCATTCCTCAGTCAAGATGTGGTGAGCCTATTAACACAACAACTCCTTAATAAAAAGTCTACTTCTGCTGTAACCAGAGGACAGCAGAATGGGCTCCCCCAGGCAAGGTGGAAAGACAGTACCATAAGACTCAAAAAAAAGTCAGAGATGTCCTCTAGTGAAAAGTAACACAGCAAGGAGTCAGAGATCTAAGTGTCTCTTTGGAACTAACATATCCCCAAGGAGAGGAGAAAATACTAAAAACTAAATAGAGGATATTCATTTGCTTTGTTCCTGCTACACATCGTTGTGGGGGTTTTGTGGATATTTTTGTGTTTGTTGTTTTGTTAATTTAGTTTTATTTTTAATGAAGCATCAGATCTTCTAGATAACAGCCTTACATTGCACTGCTGGTTTTCGCTTGTTCTTCAGATCACATGATTATTGTTCCTGCGCCGGCAGGGGGATTGGACTGGATGATCTTTTGAGGTCCCTTCCAATCCCTAACGGTCTGTGATTCTGTGATTATCAATCAATCATGCATAGTGATGGCTTAATATTATCAACTCTGCATGTCTTACTGGATTCTGCAGATTTCATCAGAAATCATTTTATGACTCTTTCTTGGACATTACCAGCCAGTAAACCAGGCAGTAACAGGAGCAATCCTCATAGAACCCTTTCTTGCAGAACCCTTTCTCAGAAGGATTTCTATCAGGTGATGAGACGTTTTGAGGCGTGTCAGTTAGCTAGTGCTGAATTCCTTCAGAGTGTGTCCAGCTGATTTGGTGGCTTTCTTAGATAAAACATGCTGCAGTGTCAAGTCCAATGCTTTACACAATTCCAAGTCCACTATATCAACGTAATTACCTTAATCAACCAAATCCAAACAAAAACAGTAAGTTATTTTGGTGAGATCTATTTCCTATAACATAATCCAAAGTTTCTATGTGAGAGCTAGCAGAGCGATTGCTCAAGCCAGGAGTGGTAGCAAATGAGAAACAGATTACTGGAGAAACCGATGCCAATCATCTCGTGTGCGTGCAAGATGGCAAATAAGCCTGAATCGCTCATAGAATGAGAAATATTTATTGAATTCCAACCTTTGCACTACTGATAACTCTACCATCTCCCTCTACTAATCCATTGTTAATTCTTTTCTTCCTGATACACACACTCCTCATTACAAAAACAAAAAAAAGTGGTATCATGTCATTCATATCTTTGTTCTCAAGTTTGCTGAGCATAAAGTTTTATTTCCATGCACCTGTTTCCTTCAAGAAATTAATGACAATTTTCTGCTTTTAATTACTCTCAACATCCCCTTGCCTATATACTAAACTGAGTATGAAGGAGGGGCTGGCAACCTACTTGCACATCCCCTGTACATCAGGTTAGATCATTTGACTCAGAAGAGCTCTCTATCTCAATGATGAGACTGTACTTTTCCAGGGCTCTCACAAAATTGTCATATGCCTGAGTTATCAGATACTTTTTTCTGTTAAATTACTTTCTCTTGGTTCATTGCTCTCATACTTGCTTTCCATTTTGTGATACTATATCTTCTGCAGCGGTCCCTTATGTCTGTTAGTGGTCTGGACTTCAACAGTTCGTACTACATGCAGCTACACCACAACCACTCACACTTATCCAACCATCAACT